TTGTACTCTAAACCCACCTGTGTACCTGCCAGCTTTTGGAAGCACAATGATGGGTGTTCACTATAGATGATAATCCAATGCCAAAATTGAACTGTATATTTATTCAAGTTAAAAGCAACTTTTTCCCCAAAAATATTATGCAGAATGAAGCTCTGAATGGTGGTGGTACGCTGTTTGTGAACAAGCATCCAAACCTTAAAGTCCGAGTTGTTCATGGAAATACCTTAACTGCTGCAGTAATTCTCAATGAAATCCGTGAGGACGTGAAAGAAGTGTTCTTAACAGGAGCAACTTCCAAACTTGGAAGGGCAATTGCCCTCTACCTTTGCCAAAGGAGAGTAAGAGTCCTGGTCAGTGTTGCCTCATCAATATTTATCGGACAGAGTATCATGCTTGACTTTTCATTCTGCTTAACAAAACTCAATAAATAAACGCTTAAACTCAAGAACTATGTAATGTCTGCTCAGTCTTCTGATGAAATAGATGTGCACATAATTCATCTTTATTTCTTGGGTTATATTAAGGTATGCATCCATCTTCGATTTTATCGGTGAAAATTAATACTGCAGATGCTAACTTCGTCAAAAGAGAGATTTCGAAAAGTTCAAAAGGAGGCCCCACTTGAATATCAAAGCTATCTGGTCCAAGTCACCAAGTACCAAGCAGCTCGTGGTTGCAAGGTACTGTGTCGGCAAACTATGATTTTGTTAGAGTTAGGGGGTTTTATATGGATTTTATAAGTGTTTTATGAGTATCATGCTTGACTTTTCATTCTGCTTAACAAAACTCAATAAATAAACGCTTAAACTCAAGAACTATGTAATGTCTGCTCAGTCTTCTGATGAAATAGATGTGCACATAATTCATCTTTATTTCTTGGGTTATATTAAGGTATGCATCCATCTTCGATTTTATTGGTGAAAATTAATACTGCAGATGCTAACTTCGTCAAAAGAGAGATTTCGAAAAGTTCAAAAGGAGGCCCCACTTGAATATCAAAGCTATCTGGTCCATGTCACCAAGTACCAAGCAGCTCGTGGTTGCAAGGTACTGTGTCGGCAAACTATGATTTTGTTAGGTTTACGGTGTTTTATGTTAAAAATAAATTGAAAAATAAGTTTTTAAATAAAAAAAATTAATTTTAATTTTTTAGCTATTACAATAGCTAAAATCTTAACAAATCAAATAATATATCATTTAATTTTTTAAAAAACAATTAGAGTAAATAATATATCATCACCAAATTACAAGCAAAATCAATAAAGGTGTAGGCTTGTCAAGACAAGCTTGCTCATGAATCTAGATAAAATAAGTTACGTGGGCTAGCTTGGCTTGTCGGCCTAATAACATACGATTTTTTTTTATTTAATTTTTTTTTTTATATTTTTAAATTAATAATTTTTATATGATTTTTTTTCAAATATTTTTAATTTATATTTAAATTAGTACTCCTATTTTTTTTTTTGAAAAGTATTTTTTAAATAAAAATTATATTTTTAGTTATACATTTAAATTTGAGGAGTTTTTATATTTATTTATAATTTTTTTAATCTTTCATATGGATAAATTTTATTTTTTAAAATAAAAATACTATTTTCAGATAATATTTCTAATATATGCAGCTTTTCATGATTTCTCCTCTTTTTATTTAATTTAATTAATTTAATTTGTTTTTTTATTTCTATTATCATTTACTTAAATTAAAAAATTTATTTTAATTAATTAATTTAGAAATCATAATCAATTAAATATGTTATCTTTCTAGATTAAATATCTTGATGTATCCTTATCTCTTTATTTTTCAAGTTTTATTTTTAGATATCATTAATTATTATTTATTTATTTATTTAAATATATATTTCTTGATTTATTTGATTATATATATGCATAAAAACTTTATTTGAATTTATATTTTTTAAATTATAGAAATGAATTTAAAAAAAGCATTTGTGTATATAATTTTTTTATAAAAAATAAAAATATCTCACGTAACTAATAGGAATACTATAAATTGAATTGGGTTGTTCTATTTGTTCAAAATATTATTTGTGAATTTTAAATGTGACGGTGTCGTATTGGAACCAATGGTAGACCTGGATCGTGGGGAAGTGGATCACACCAGGGGAGCAAAGTTGGGCCCCGACAGGAACACATTTCCATCAATTTGTGGTGCCCCCCATTTTGTCCTTCAGAAGAGACTGCACTTACGGTGATCTTGCTGCCATGAGACTACCTGATGAAGTTCAAGGGCTTGGAAATTGCGAGGTAAAATCCTTCTTCCATTTTTTATTTACATGATGTTTAAGGTTTTGAAAATTACAAATAAAAAATTATTTTAATATATTTTTCAATAAAAAATTTATTAAAAAAATTGCTAATACTCTTCTGAATACTTTCTCAATTACTGATCACCATAGATCTAAAAGGAATTAAAAAGAAAACTCGTAAAACATAAATTTGGAATTAAAACAGGATTCCATGTTGATTGTCTATGGATTGAAAAATCTCGTAAAGAAAAATAAGTGACGATGAGCTAACTTGCTAAAAGTAAGATATGGGTGATGTGATTATTTTCTGTTTAGTTTAATTTTTAATTAAGATATAATTAAATTAATTTTTTTTTTAAATTAAAACTAGTTTAAATTGATAATTTTGGTTTTGTTACTTTAAAGTAAAAACTAAAATTTAATAGATTGACTTGATTATTTTGTTTGGCTTGATTTTTTGTGTTTAGCTTGATTTTTTTCGATTTAGCTCAGTTATTAATTTTAGTTTGGTTAGGTTAGGTTTTTCAGTTGTAGACTTAAAAAATCAAACTGAATCGGTTGGTTTATTTTAATATTTTAATTTTTTTTGAAGGTTTTGTTCTTTTAGTTTTTTTTTCTAATTTTTTCAACTTATTAGTTTTTTAAATTTTTTATTCACCCCTGAGTTCCTGTATGGATTAACTAGTTTATGTTTGTTTTGGTTGGTGTTTTAACAGTACACCATGGACAGAGGAGTAGTCCACGCATGCCATGCAGGCGGGGTGGTTCACCTGCTGGAAGGCTGGGCTCACCATGAAGTTGGGGCCATTGATGTTGACAGAATCGATCTGGTTTGGAATGCTGCATTGAAGCATGGCTTGAAACCGGTCTCCAATGGTGTCCCCAGACAAAATTCAATGTGAATGCATGCCTTCTTGCGAAGAAACAAAGGATTTGCTCGCAACAACAAATATTCCTTTGTTTTCTTTACATTAAATTTAACTGTAACAAACGAAAGTTGTTTCAAGTTGCAATTCAAATGCGATATATTGTGACATATATATATGTCCCACCAGAGATTCTTCAATGAGAGTACCCAGGAACTCTACCATTATCTTATTCTTCTTCTAGTGGAGGTTTTATATATGCACGCATGTTTTGTGTTTTGTAGTAGGTAAATAATAATTTTTATTTTAAATATAAGAAAAATATAAAGTATAATTTTAAGTGTTTTGGATTTGACTTTTTAGTTTGTCATTATATCAAATGATACAAAACACCAAAAAAAAAAATTAATTTGAAGTAAAGAAAAAAATAAAAAAATTATTTTTGAAATGCAAAAACAAACATATTTTAATAATGAAACTTAACTTGAACTAACAAAAAAATTATCATTACCAAACTTTTATACAATATAAAAAAAATCACATCAATTTATTTATTATTACAGTGTGAAAAAAATGAATAAAAAAAAGATAACAAAAAAATTCAACTTCACCTCCAATGAAAAAAATATATATATCATCACCTAATTTTTATACAATATAAAAAAAATCTCATCAATTTATTTTCTCTTTACTATATAAAAAAAATTAAATAAGAGAAAATAAAAAAAAATCTAAAAAGATAAAAAAATAAAAAATAAAAAATAAAAAATATTTGGCAGTCCAGCCAAACCTAAGATTAGTGGGTCTGGCTGAAAACGAAACCGAATAGCCTTGGGTCCAGCGGCCAAACTAGATTTAGCAACACTTTCTGACTAATAAACAGAAAAGAGAATGTCTCTAACTACTACAATGTTGTTCATAGTACAAACACTTTATATCTATGGTATGGTCCATAATGGAATGAGTCTATGTTCATAGTATTATTTTTTAAAATATTTAAAAACTATATATATATTGAGATAATATTATTTTATTTTTTTAAAATTTATTTTATATATCATCATATCAAAATCATATAAAAACATCAAAAAATATTAATTTGAAGTAAAAAAATATAATAAAAATTAGATTTTTTCAAAATTATTTTTGAAATGTAAAAACAAACATGTTTTAATAAAAAAATTCAACCCAACTCAAATATAAAAGCATTATCATCACCTAACTTTTCTACAATATAAAAAAAGTTTCATCAATTTATTTTTTCTTTACCGTATGAAAATAAATAAATAAATAAAATTAAAAAGATAAAAAAATAAAATTAAAAATATCTAACAGCCCAACCAGATTCAATAGCTTTGGGTCTGGCTACCCAATAAAACCCAAGATTGGTAAGTCTGGTTGGGAGAATGAACAACTCTTTTTAACTAATAAACAAAAAAGACAACACCTCACGGGTGCTCCAATATCATGCGTATTGCAAATATTCTATAGTTTTTCTCTTGTACTTTAAAATATAGTATATTGTTGGTGTTGTTTAGAAAAAATTAATAATTACCACTTGTTATTTCCCAAAATTATTATAAGACTAATTCTATATAATTACATAATATTCACAGGATATATAACTCATTCTAATATTGTTTTGTCAAGTTAGAGCTTACATATCAATCATCTTTGACTTGTGAACCAAGCTATTAAAAATGTTTCTTGAAAGTGTTCTGGTGAGTATACTAATTTGCTAACGAATCCTCTCCAAACAAATATAAGCTTTATAAACAACCACTAATAGAAAATGAAAAATATAATAGAAATTTTGATGTAAAATATATGTTTGTAATTGTGGATGTTGACAAATAGAATAGAAACTTTGATGAAAAATATAGGTTTGTAATTGTGGATGTAAATTATGAGAGAATATTGACACGACTAAAAGATTGATATCTTTATCCAAATGCAGAAGTGTCGAAGTAATAAATAACCCGGCAAGACCGGGGTCGAACCATAGAGAAGTTAATTGTACAAATTATAAATAACAATTATAAACAACAATAATAGCAACAACAACAACAACAACAACAACAATAGTAATAATAATAATAAAGAAAGAGAAGAAGAAGAAGATGAGAACTTGGAGATGAAATATTAATGTAAGGATTAAACGATGATAATAACAAATGTCAAGGTTAGAGGATTCACTAATGGTATGTCAAACAAGTATAGTATAAACTCTTATTATTCAATTGGAAACCACACACAAAGGAGGTTCCAATCAGATTATATATTGTTAACATGATTATATTAGTCATCTTATTCAATTAATGCTAATACTTGTAAATCTCGTCATGCATTCATGATTATAACTTATGTTAACAACAAATCAAGTTCCTTTCATAGCTCAGGTGTCAGTTATACCATACATTATGAACTATGAAAGTGCCAAGCATTTGTTGTACCAAGTGTTATACAACATAAATCAAGATTAGTCATTTAACAAGCAAAGTATTAAAGAGTGAACAAGATAACAAATACAAAACATGTTAGTATCAAACATTAAAATTCATATTAAGTTTACACCATACTTATTCTTACACCATTAGTGTAACCTTTTCACCTTGACATAATAAACTTAGCTAGACATAATGATTGAAAGAAAAATAAATAAAAAAAATAAAAACATAAATAAGATAAAAGCTAACTAAGTGAATGAAAGGAAATGAAATGCATAAACTTGATATTAATGAAAGCAAAGTATAAACATTACAAAAAATAAAAAGAGAGAAAGCAAGAGCATGATCTTGATCTGGAAACCAAGATGCCTAAATGCATGGCAAATGCCTCCTTTTATAGGCTAAAATTGAGAACTATTGATTTGATGACTAATTGATGAGTGGGTGACCAACTCTTGACTTGATGACAATCCTTATCTTCTCTTGTCTGCCCAAAACATCATTGATAACGTCAAAATTAGAGCTACTTGAAATAAAAGTTGTAGGAAATTGTCTCAACTTTCTTATGTAAAAAATTCAGCTCATTTGGACTTCTAGAACTCCAGATATGGGCCAAACACTGAACAGTGCTCGGGCTGGAGGACAGATTCAGACTTCTTTGTTGTTGCTCTAATTTGGACTTGAAAATGGCCTTTTTAGATCTTGGGCTCCATATGAAAATTTTATGCCTATATCTTACCTTTCCATCCATATAAAGTAGACCTAAATCACTACAACTCTAGATATGACCCAATTACCAAACAGTATTCTGGTTTAGACGACATCAGCATCTCTTTTCTAAGTTTGGCCATCTCTTTTTTCCTTTCAATTTCAGTTCTTAAATTCATCAATCAATCCTTTCATTTATGTGATGGGCCTACATTTAAAATAAATATTTACCATAAATTAAAGGTATCTTATATTATTAGATATATTATTATAAAATATGCTTTACTAAAGGAGTTATTAATACTTCAAGTGCAAAATGATGATATAAAACCTTGATAAAAATACACTTTTAAGTATTAATCACAGCCCCCAACTAGCTTATTACTAGTCCCTAGTAATCAAAAAGTTAAAACAGAAAAACAATTTGTAAATTCCACAAAGCAAGATACTCATCAT